ATAAGTTTTTTTAACAACCTTTAAAAAATAAATGAAAATCTCGGTTGAGTTAAACATTATTTTTATTAGCGTAAGAACAAAATCTGAATTGAAAAGTGTAAATTAAATAACAATTAAGGACCGATTCCACCGTTGTGTTAAACGAAGTTTAAAATGACATTTTTACATTAATAACGTCATTTTAATCTCCGTTTAACACAACGGTGGAATCGGTCCTAAGTCCTTTTATTTTTGGAAGATCTCTCCCTCTTTGACGAAAAACTTCGTTTAGTGGATTTTCTTGTATATTTCATGGCCGGATATTTAATGACCAGCAGTAATTTGCCATCATTACAACGTTTCATCGACCTTGATATCTGCGTTCCATTCGTTTTATGTCTTGGTGAAACCTCTCACCTTGTTCCTCACTAACGGCATCAAGATTTTTGTGAAAGTAGTCCAGATATGAGTTTAAAAAGTGTAGTATTATACTCATATTGCATACCTATTCCTAACATGTTTTTTACAAGGTCCTGGTAATTTGAATGTTTGTTGTTTCCCAAAAAAACCTTTTATCACATCAGTAAATGAAATCCATGCAGCTTTTTCGGTTTCGCTTATGGTATTCTTGATCTTCCATTAATCGCCTTATTTGGAGGATTTACAACAATTTCTTTCTTAAATTTTGCAATAACGTATTGTTTCATGAGTCCTAATTTAATATGCAAATGAGGTAAAAGAATTTTTTGTAGATCAATAAGACTTTCCTTTTTGGCTAGACCTTTTTTACCCAATGTTGCTGTCTGCTTATACTATCCAACTCACATAAAATACATGGGTACTTTTTATACCCTGACTGCTGACTTAGTAGTCCCACAATTTTTAAAACACCACATCATTCAACTTTGATTTTCTCAAGTGGTAGTTTCAGATGTTGGTAGCATTCTTTTAACTGCACAGAATGAGCAGCAGGTACCGATGCAAGAATATTTCCATTTTGCAAAAGAACAGCTTTGAGGCTTCTCTTGGACAGATCAATAAAAAACTTTCAGTCCTTAGAATTGTAGTATGTAGCAAGTTTGTTCATTACTCTGAAATATGAGATTTTAACGTCTTCTGTCAGTAAATTTTAATTTCGAAGTCTAGATGCCAAAATTTCGAAAAGATCCTTAGGCAAACCTAAGTCTCTAAGTTATTAGGTTCTGATTGAGAAAATAACTGTAATTGCTTAGAAACATTCGATATATGACTAACATCACTAAGGTTGTCTTCATCAAGAGAACTTCAAGTTCAGAAAAACTGATTGTACTTTCTTCTACAAGCCTAGATTCTTAAGTATTGGCACGTCTGGGCCATGTGGCACTGACTTAATTGCAGACTTTAGGTTCGGGATAAACAATGTTTTTGAAATGTTTGGTGTTATATCCACGAACATTACACATGCAGAAATAGCAGTCAATATGGTGATTTGTTGACTCTTTCCATATCATGGGTATTTAGAAAGGTTTTATTACTCCAGTGTCTTAAACCTTCTTCACATTTTTCACACACTTATGTGGCGCCCAGGGTTTGTCTTGATCACTAATTTTTACTTTACAATAAGCAAAGTATTGTTTTTTAAACAGGAGTGTAATTTTACGTCTAAATTTCTTGATCACAAAAGAACTACACACGTAGCAAACCATACTTGGCTTATTTTTACAAATTCTTGGCATTTTAAAAAGAAATTTAACAGCAAAATGTTCACTAATCTCCCGAAACAACGCCTACTTACAGCGAATGCAAATACACGATAAACGGGCGTTCTTAAACTACAAATGTGGGAATCCTAGAAAGTATATTTTACTTTCAGTGATTCCCCTCTAACGTTCTGTTAGTTTGAATGAAATTTAAGCCATACCAATATAATGTAATATCCATGTGCAAAGATTTTTAAAGCAATAAATATGACAGCTCAATAATTAAAAAATTGTATATGATGGAAACAAAAGAACATTGATTTTCTATTAGTTTAGCCCTCAAAACTTCAAAAATATGAAAAATACTAAATTAAAATCTTTGTTGACCTGTATTACCGAAAATAATATAAGTAACTTAAAAATTATAAAGTTTAAGTCTGATTCTAAAAAATTGCTTGTAAAAAGATCGAGCTTTGATTAAATCGACCCAGAAAGAATAGATTGAAAAAAAATCGATTTTTTAGCCCCAAAGAATCGATCTTTTATAAGATCGATTAAAGATCGGCAATCCTAGTACGAAAGATATTACTAATTTAGAGTTTTCTTTATTCATTTAAATTATTTCTTTAACACGTCAAATTAGTTTAAAAGCAATTACTAACAGGTTAGAAGCTATTGACAGTTTGTCAAATTAATTAAGACAAACTGTCAATAGCTTCTAACCCGTATTTGTTAGCTGTCGATTGCTTCTAAACTAATTTGACAAAACGTTTAACATACCAAGTCTAAACTTTGTTTAATAGCTTCTAAGCTAATCTATCGGTTGCCGATTGCTTCTAAATTATATTAACAGTATGTCAGCGACGTGTAAAATATTATTTGACAGTTTTTATACCCGTCTGAACTATTTTGACAATTCAGAACTTTTTCTATATTATTATATCAAGATATGGATTTTGACAGTTGCCAGCAATGACTAAACAATTGACAACAGTGTATTACACTATTTTGTCGGTTGATTATTTTATCAACTACTTTAACAAGTGCTAGGAGTATATAGGTACGGAAATCTAAACGCGGGCCATCTATTTTACAATGAATTGAATAATGTATAATAGAACCATGCATGAAACAAACAAAGACCGCTTGTGGCGCACGATACGTACGACTTTCACTTCACTCCCACTTGCGCTCGTAACTAATAGATTTGGCTTATGTGGTCCGCGTTTACATTTCTGTAAGCTATTTTGACAGCTGTCAACAACGTCTGATTAATTCAATTAGGCATTCTAACGACCTGTCGAAATGCTGCTCGTGGGTAATGATAATGCAACCCTGTGGGCCTGTTGTCTTTGACAGAGTCAATGATACAAATATAGTTATAGAGATTGCTCAAAGTGGGTCGTTTGCGAGAGGCCATATTGCCTTAAAGTGCTCATTAATCAGAATCTATTCTATTTGATTGGATGTTCGATGTTTATTTTAAAAAACATGGATGATCAATCTATATAACTATCTATATCATTGACCCTGTCAAATCACCAGGCCCACAGGGTTGCCATATCTTATAGTGGATTTTTTTGTGCACTAGGTGTAAGTTTTCTGCACTAATCGCATTTGATTTGTTCAGTACAGCTTCAAATATTTGACACATACTTAGCATATACTTTTGACAAGTATGACAGTTCGAATATAATGTTGAGTGTGACACCAGTGCAACAAATAAAATCCACTATTAATCTGTCATTACCCATGCGCAGCCATTTTGTTTGCATTAATTTCACAGCTTTTAATAACAATTTTGTAAATATTGTTGGTTAATTTAAAATAAAGTGGCAATTTTTGTATAAGTAATATACATTCCAATTAATAGAAAGGAAGTCTGTATTATCGATATTTGACTTAACATTTTCGGTAAAAAAATAACGTGTCATGGATAACTATGTAGACCGATTTTGATAAACTCTTCCATAAAATAAAACAATATTGTCAGATTAATTAGGGAATTTGACATTGGAATAAATTAGGGTTTTTAAGCAACGTTGCCGGGTTTTTAGAAAGTCGTAGATTAAGGGAAATGTGTGAAATATTTTTGTATTAGCCGAAGATGTTATGTTAACAAAAGAGATAATAGAACAATTAATATTAATTAAATTGTATACAATATTTAATTAGTTGAAAAAAGAAAAGAACCAATATCTTTAGGTTAAATTTAAACTGTAACATTTCGTCAGTGATAGACGGCCTTCTAGGATTTACTAAAAAATTAGAAATTTCAAGTAGTTGTGACTTTAATTAATTTTTCGTATTAAAACTTTGAGTAGGATTTTTAAAATTTACTAACAAAAATTATATATTTTTCTTAAAATTTAACTACAGTCGCTTTGTATGGTGCGATTTTGCGATGATATGGGACTTTTTCATTATTAGGCTAGCCTGGAAATAAATGATCTCGCAAAAGCTATTATAGCCAAAAATTTAATCGTGCTGCATTAATTTTTCTAATGACTAGGAAAAAAGTATATGAGCCATACGATGTAGTTCTATCTCTATTAATTGTATCATGCAGTATGATCATATTTCTATCACGTCGGAGAGCATCGTAATCGACTAAGGTCTTCAGCTCATTTTTCATTTCATTTACTGCTTGGCTTCCACTATACCACTGTAGTAATATTACGCCAAATGTAAGAGTTTATCTCTATCACAGGATTGGCTATTGTTTAGCAAAAGACGGTGGAATATTTAAACCCTGTATCCGTTAGGTTTATAGTTTGTTATTTTACGTTATTTAATTTTTTTTAATTTAGACTTTTTATTTTCTTTATTTATTTAGACTTTATTGTCAAAGCCACAAATTTCTATGCAACAGTTATTTGAAGATTAAAAATTGTCACTTTGAAAAAAGTTCTCAGGTATTCAATAATGGAATCTACGTAAATATTGTCTTTAATTAGAAAAAGCAACATCTCGCAGAAGTTCATATATTACTAAAATTTAGCTGCTTGATAATTGATAAAAGTAAATAGCAAGAGAGGTGATAGGTATGATGTAAACGTTGGTGTTATACACAAGCAATAGAAATTACCGAGCACTCGTCGAGCCTATCCCTATGGCTCGTATACTTTTTTCCTAACCTGCATAAGCCTTACTTTACCAGTTTTTAAGATTAACTACATCATAGCTAACTTCAATTTTTTTATAAAATTTAGTTCCCGACTGGCCATTTAGTACCTACCTAGATAAAAAAACAGTATGTAGAGTATACATCGCAAAATCTCAAAACACTAGTCGCTTAAAATTCATAACAAACGATTTGCTAACGACTTGATTGTTTATTAGGAAAATGTATCAGTTTATGTTGAATTTCCCCGGTAAGAAAGTTCGAAAAATGAAATTAAAAAAATGGAATAGTTTGTGACCGGTGTGTCACTGCAGCAGCTTCTAGAGTGATATTTCGGAAAGAAGATTTATGACAGACATTTTTTTTTGTTGATCCGTAACATTTATTGTACATAGATATTGTATATACACTATACACAAACGAATTATTGTGTAATCTAATAAATATTACTGAAAATTGGTTGTTTTATTTATTTGTTGAATTAACACTTATTTTCACCAAGCACCAAGTTCACTTTTGAGGTCTGCGCCCCGGTTACGGGTCACTTGCCCAGTTTTTGCGCGAGAGAGAACAACATAGAAAGAGAGCTCCTGCTAAGTATGGCAACATCGCGAATAGGGGTGGAGCTATGAATGGTAATTACTAGTAGCTCCATCCACGTAAAAGTCACTTACCCACTATAATCATATTTATCCTAAATTCCTATTAGGAACATTGTGTACAAAATTTAATCTATTTCGTGGAAAAAACTGATATAAATAGAACCGAATAAAATAAATCCCGAATTTTAACCGGAAATGTTATTCCAGCTTAATTAACTATTATTAAATACATAAATATTAACTAAACCTACCAACATCTATGAAAATTCGTTGATAAATAAGTTTTGAAGATTTCAAATAATAAGGGTGCCTAGGTAGATTATTTTCCGGCAAGAAAATGTCACAAAAATTAGTTTGCAATCGATTTCCGACGTATAACATAGTTTTTCAAGAACAGAAACAATATCTACCGGAATGGAAACCAAGCCGTTTTATGATAGATTTCGAAACTAAACTTATTGAAGCTTTAAAACAAAATTTTAAGAATCCTCTCATTAAAAGACACTTTCACTTTAGTCACTGTTTGTGAAGAAGAATCCAAAGCGTAGGATTAGCTTCTTTATACAAGAATGACATGGAAATCCAAAACCACATAAAAATGTGTTCTTTGCTGGCTCATTTACCTATAAATCTTATTGATGAAGGGATGGCTGGAAATAATGAAGGATTGCCCAGTTAAAAAATAGAAGAGTTTAACAACTATTTCATAAACCAATGGCTTGAAAATAACTTGTTGCCAAGAGCTGTATGGAATTGCTGTAATTTAAGACACTGTACAAACAATGCCGTAAATGGATGGAATAACAAATTACAGCTCCGAATAAGAAACAACCCCAATGTGTATGAATTAATTAAGTTTCTTTGATTTAAAGTTGAATTACAAGACAGCGAAATACTTCGAAAGGTGTTTGGGCTACCATTATCGAACAAAAGAAGAAAAGTATACATTGGTATAGATAATAAAATCAAAAACTGTTTATTAAAACATAATGAAGACGGAAATATTAATAAATGTTAAAAAACTTTAAGCTATTTACAAAAATATTTAAATATATTGTTTTATATTTTTTTGTAAAATATTTTTTTTAAATATTGTTTACCCCATTACGGTTACATATTTACATAAAATGCAAGTAAATACATCTCATCTTTATTTTTAAATACAGTGTTAAAAAAAATAGAATTTTTATTTAAAATTTCTATTTGTGTCAAAAAAATTAACGCTATTACCTACCATTTGCAAATAATAAGTAAATGCTTGAAACTTTTTGTAAAATTTTATTATTTTTATATATAGGGTGTTTCAGAAAGTACTGTAAACTGGGGATTTATAGATCTTAACTAATTAACGTCCAAGTTTTCATTCTATAGGGTGATAAAGTGAATTAATTAAATATATAATTTGCTAAATATCTTTCCTTACTGTAAAGACTTTAACTTAAAAATATATATATGTAAGTTAATCGTCATTATTAGTTGACATTCTAATTCGACAAAATACGATACCCATTGAACAATAAAGATAACTAACACAATCTACAAACCATTACAATTTCTGACTTCAAGACATCCTTATTCCCTTAATTATTCCTCCCAGGTAAGAAGTAAGGGCTGCTATATCTAGCCAAATTCATAATTAATAAGCAACAATGCATACTATAGGTGAAGATATCGCCATTGGCCCAGCTAACTAACATCTCATATTTGTAAGTTAAAATATTTACCATAATGATAGATATTTAGAAAATTTTGTGTTTATAAACTTTACTTTATCACCCTGTAAAATAAAAACTTGAACGTTTAAAGGAAAATTATACTTAACTTTTCATATTAATTTGTTAAGATCTAAAAGTATTTTATTCTGAAACACTCCGTATATACTTAAAATGCAAGAATTTACACTTCGAATATTCGGTTTATTTCTTTATTTTTTAAAGGAAATTTTATTTATTTATTTTTATTCACTTGTATTTACAGTTACTTTTTTTATTGTCATAATATCTAAATAAATTATTGATTTCTTATCCCCTACTTCTAAAATTTCCTTTGCCAATACTACTGATGACGTGATCCTATATCTCTGGATCCTATCTATTGTACGACTATTCGTGCGTATCTTTCCGATGCTTTGGGGTGGTTTGGTACCATCCCACCTAAAGTGCAACGTTGCCGGATCAAAATGTACCTGAAAAAAACTGGGCAAATGTCCCGACACATGCGCCCCTGGCAGCCGCACCCATGACCCCTAGCTACGATACTGCATGCAATAATATACAAGACAAAAAAGAATATTATAGAAAAAAACATAGATCAACTTTTTTAATTATAAACGATAGTCAAAAAAAGTATTCACACACACTACTACCACATACACATACATTGGTATGGATAGGTTGGATGTGCCACGTTGTACTAGCCATTTGACATGGATATCAATTGAGCTCCATGTTGAGAAGTCGATTTGCATGGGTTATTTATAGTGTCAATATGTTAAGCTAGTCAGATAAATATGAATAATATTGTATGATGTTTTCTTTAAATATGGGATTAAACCTTTCTTCTTTCATTAAAACTTGATTTATCTTTAATAACTCATCATTATCACACAACCATATTAATTAAATATAAGAAATTGGTTTTATTTTTATTTTGCTCCGGCTATGACTCTTAAAAAAATTATAGAGAAGTAACTATTTAAACAATTTTCTTCTCCAAACATAAATAATAGATACCGTCAAACGGGGTGAAGTCGATCAAAAAAATACGTTTCTTGAGATTGCGGAAAAACTAATAACTGGATTTTGATGAAATTAAAAATATAACTTCCTTGATGCTTAAGTCATCGACTGGTGACTGGAGCAAGTTCGTAGATGGAGCAGCGTTTTTTTTTTATTTTGAAATAAAGGGTGATTGCCTGGGGTGAAGTCAATCACCGCTTTTAAAATGCATATTTCCTACTTCAGGACCGTCCAGGATGAAATAGATCAGTGAATAATAAAAAAATATAAATATTTGCAAAAGAATTTTGCAATAAAACGCATATAAAAAAAATATAAATGTTTATTTTTTGGACGAGCTTTACACAGCTGTTGATTTCTTAATAACATAAACCTTAAATAAACACAGATAAAAACAAAACTAAAAAACAGAATTATAAAAATTTATGAAACGAACGCATAAAAATCCCTTACTGGAGCGTTTTCAGTTCTTTTTTTCTAAGGGAAAAGAAATATTTGCCCCGCTTTACTAATTTTAAATTGAGTTGTCGGCCAATCTGTTCCCTGCTTGTGACATTTGGAAAAGTGAAAAACAGATTTGTTTGATGGATGTTTTCAATAATTTTAGCGATATAAAATCGATCTCTTTTGTTTATCTCATATTTTGTGATGATAAAGTCTCCTATATCCCAGTTGCCGCATGGATCAAAAGTGTTGGCTAGCGCAGCGAAACTTTCTCCAATTTCATAATCGTCTATGTAAATATTCTGTTTCTCCACCGCCAGTGTCTAAGTTATCTGCTCTCTCTTCGTCTTCGCTGTCGCTTATTTGTCTCTTACGCGTTCTGGATTGCTTGCAACTCCTTTGGTTCTCTTCTTCCAAATCTTCTGTGTCTATGCTTTTTCCAGCGGCTATATTCAGTCTATTTCTTAGCTTTGAGATATTATTTGGCCCAGTCTTGAGCTGGTGTAGATAATCAACAAGCATTGCAGTCACTGAAGTTTCTGCCTTATTGTTTCCTGCCTCCGGTGTAGTAAGTTCCTTTCTTTTTACCTTTGCAAGAACAACATCGGGATTAAAAGGAACTAGGACGCATGCTTTAAATCCAGCTAAAATATTCATTTCGCGATTCCCAAGCCCTCTACAGCGGTTTTCAGCATCCTGGGAAATACAGTTTTTGGCAAAACCCCCCTATTTTTCAGTTTCCATTCCTCCAGTACTCTTTTCCATGATGCTTTAAGTGGACCAAAAAAAGCCACGTTCAGTGGCTCCAGCATGTGGGTTGAATTGGGGGGCGTAAGACAAACTTAATATTGTTGTTTTCGCACTCTTGAATAACACTGATAGTAATGTGATTTTGCAAGTTATCTCCAATAAGCAGCTTGGTCTCTTCTAATTTTCGAAAATATGGGAGTGCTACGGTCTTGAACCAATCATTAAACAATTCAGAATCAAACCATCCCTTTGGAGACCTGTTGTACATTGCTCCTGGTACTCCGCCCTCTTTCCATGCTTCATAAAGGTGTTTAGCTTTGTACACCGTATAAGGGGGAGACGAGTTCCATCAGCAGCTATTGCGAACATAACTGTTGTGCTGTTTTTTGTGGTGTCAACTGTCCTGTAGGCGTGTTTGCTTCCTTTCTTCATTACCACTTTTACAGCCCCGGGATCGTCAACCAAGTTTGTCTCGTCGTAGTTCACAAAGTTTTGTGGTGGGATATCCCTTATGATTTCCGCCACATTTCGGAAATATTCCTCAATAATCTCGTATGTTACAGCGGCTCTCACTCGCTTTTTATTCTCAGCAAGCTTGATTGTAAGCCAGGGATGTCTCTTCATCAGGCCCTTAAACCAGCCTTCTCCTGGCATATCCTTGGTAAATCGCTTTTCAGTGATGCCGCGTTCATTTAAATATTGCTGCGTGATTCGCATATTACCAATGGGCTTTAATGGGAAACCCCACTCAGCACAGGTTTGCAAAGCATTTACTAACAATGTTTCAGAATGTTCATCAAGAGCAGGTTGATCACCATATGTCAAGGGATGTGCCGCATGAAAGTGATCGTTTAGTGTCGTATATGGCACTGCAAACCTTTCTTGACGCTCTTCGCATGCTCAGTCTCCCCTTGAGAACTGCATCCAGCGCCCTCTCTAAATAAGTGGGGTCGTAGTTTATTTTGCCATAAGCACCCAGCTTCTTCATGTATTTTCGTGGCATCTATAATAAATAATAAAGTGCTTTATTAATAAAAAAAAAACATGAAAAAAAAAAAAAGAAATATATGTAAACAAATATTAAAATAAAGCCAAAAATGCCGATAAGTGCCTAGACACTTGTTTCGGTTAAAAATACAAAATATATAAATAAAATGATATAAATCTTACAATTTACAACTACATAAAATTTACAACAGAATGTACACACCTAAAAAAATAGTAAAATTTACAAATACATATTAAATTATAATAAATATTTAAAAAAAGAAGAAAAAAAGACAACGTAACACTAAATTATTATCAATATTTTTAATAATTATTTAGTTTTCAAAAAATTTATTAATAATAGACCTATTAGTATCAATAATAAAATGTTTTAGATGTGTTTTGAAGCCACAAATACTTTTAATAGCTTTTAAAGTTTCTGGTATAGCGTTGTAGAGTTTTGGTGCTATAAAGTAAGATCAAAATTAGAGTTTGGTTCAATCATATGGATGAGTGAGTATCCAACTATTCTCCAAGGAATTGAAAAAATACAGAATAAATTTTTAAGGTATTTGTATTATAAAAAATATCACACTCGGCCTGATTTCAAAACCGTAAGATCAAGTGATTTAAGAACTGAATTCAAAATAATATCTTTAGAAAGTAGACGAAAATTACTATCAATGATATTTTTATATAAAATTATTAATAATCGAATAAATGCACCCAATTTATTATCACTTTTACCATTCAGTATTCCTACACGAACTACTCGAAATTTTAACATATTCTATATACCCTTCTTACCTACTATTCGATCTCCCATTGTGGACATACTTCGGATGGCGAACAATTTAAATTATCTCCATGATCTTGACTGGAATATATCTTTATATAAATTTCGCACTTTAATATTTCAATGTCTTATAAATATTTTCACCTAAATTATGTTTTGAATTTGATCCCTTGCAATTCTGAAACCCGCTCACTCTGATATTTTATTTTCTTCTGATTATATAAATTAGTAAACTTTATCTGTATAAATTTATCCATGTAATTAGGCCTATAGGCCTGTTTGGGTAAATAAATAAAGTTTAAAATTTGGTGTTTTTCTCTGTACACAGACATCATTGCAAAAATAATCAAAATGGATTCAGGGGACCCTAAAACGTAAAAATCAGTCAAAAAACTCATGACTCCCTATACTTTCCTTATCTGTATACAGATAGGAAAGTAAAAATGGTGTACCAGAAGCGATGAATGTCTTGGGCAAACAGCAAAAACATTTCAGGTCAATGTGTGACGTGCATGAAGAACAAATACTTGACGTTTTTCATATAATACTATCCAATAAATGTTGCATAAAATGTCTACTAACTCATTTTCCTTAATATTCCTTGCTCTAAGCGTATTTTGGTTTCGAAATTTAAAATTCAATTTTTAGAGAATTACCTTTTAATGACCTTCATCATTTTTGCTTTGGACCCTTCATTTTGTTCAAGCCACTAAAATTATCAAACTACCGTTTTGCCCTCTATACAGCACAAGGATAAATAAAAAATAAACCAAAACATTATTTTGATACTTTTTATATCAAATTGGGTGGTTATCTTAAGTCAAGTTATACATATTCTTAAATAAAAAATTAAACTAAATAAAATCTATTTTTTCGCGAAGGATATTTTCATAGCATGCGTGGGGGTGATCTTGAATCCTTGTAGAGCATCCTTGGCAGCTCCTGATTGTAATTCATTCTCGAATTCAACAAAAGCTATGTCGTGTCGGTTCGGCACCAAACGCACTTCTTTGAACCCAGGGAACCTTAAAAAGAAAAAATATTTAATTATTTTCTCCTATAAGTGTAAATCAAGGCTGTTTGTCACGATATTAAATAAAGTACTAAATTAATGCAATTTTTAAGTCATAAAACAATTCACGTTGCAAACGACAAATTTAGCACTAAATTTAGTTACTAAAAAATTAAATAATTAAAACTTTTCTATTTTCTCCTAAATTTTGTACTAAAACTGCGAAGAAATGTAACACATAAGCTTTTCACAGAAAAAGTTAAAGGTACTACGGGCTTGTCAATACTATTTTATTTTTTGTTAGCGACATCATCACCTTAGATAAATTTCGCTTGGGTTTGATTTTGTTGGTTTTATCCTGATTTTTTGTAAGCATTATTGTCTTTGAATAATGTTACTTAAAAGGAGCTCAGGGTTTAAATATTGACAGTATAAACAACGTTCTATTATATATGTGGATGACCTTGTAATCACTCGGAAATTGATGTTGTAAAAATACTAGATAAGTTAATATAATTGTAATTAAATTGCAAGAATCTAAGGAAAAAAAAAAACAAAAAGAAAATAGTGTTAAAGATGACACTAACAGTATAAAAAAAGATTCTTGGAAAGAGAATGTTAAAATCTGTAAGGTTTTTAGATTGGGCAAGTACACAAATGGTAAAAACAGAATGATTAAAATTGTGCCCCAAAACAATGAAGAGGCATTACATACATTGAAAAACAAGAAAGAAATTAATATTACAGGGATAAATATTTTTGCAGATCAAACAAAAATGCAACGAAAGTTCTATTTGAAGCTGAAAGAAAACAAAATGTACTCATAGCAAGTGGTGAAACAAAAGTTAAAGCAAAAAAAAAAATGAAAACAAGGTAATGGGATGGGTGGCTCAGTGGTAGAGTCTCTGCCTGCGGATCCAAGCATCCCAGGTTCGAATCCCACCGTTGGCCGGGATTATTTTAATTAATTAATTTATTTAAAATTAATTCTGATGCCTTGGTAGGATTCCCCACTCGACCAATCACTGTTGGGTTCTAATTAACACTGCTGTTCCTAAAGTGGCCTGGGAAACAGCCTACCCAGAAGGCGAGGCGAAACAACCTTAGTAGTTGAAGCCGATGATACAAAAAAAACAAGGTAATTATGCTGTAGCATTTAACAGTGATATTATTTATGCCAATAGTCAGAGCCTCTATGCTAATCATAATCAACTTATTAAAGAAGCGATATGCTACAACCCTTCTATTCTTTTATTGAATAAAGCGCAAACAACACCAGCCATTGAGAACTTTGAAATTCAATTTGATGGGTATAAAATAATTCGATGTGACTCCTCAACTCGTTTTACTAGAGGTATTGTAATTTACACTAAAAATAACATTAGTTTTAAAATATATAAAAATATTGTAACAAATAAGGTTTATTGGTCTTTAATAATTAAGGTAAATATTCATGATAGAAGTCTTCTCATCGATTCTTTATATAGACCCCCTAGTTCAGATTTTAACTTTTTTTTATCATTTTAAAGAATAGGCTGAAGAGGCTTTTACAAAAAAATGTTAAATGTATTACATATTATTGGTGATTTTAATTTAAATTTATTGGATAAGAATAGTGCTGATAGATATGTAATAAATATTATTAAGAATTGAATCGGTGAGTGAAAGAACAATACATATCCAAAATGACCATTTTGAGAAAAACAAAAAAAACTGTTTTAAAGGAGAACTATGGGTTATTCAGCCAATTATGTATTGTGAAGTTATAGAATTTTTGTTAACCGATAATAATACGTACATAAATTTAAAAATAAAATTATGCAAAAAATTATATTTGAAAAAAATGACTTGCAGTTATACTGTTCTTTCACTCAATTTAAAAAAAAATGCTTTAAATTTTTTTTGTAGCTTTATTGATTATTATTTAACAAACTTATTTGTAATTTCTTTATCAGAATCTTCATTTTTGACTTTCCCAGAAATAATATATGTTAGTAAAACTCTAGGATTTCATCACAAAAGTAGAATAAAAGTATCTTTATATTGACTATCTTCTTTACGTTAATAGGGAAAACTTCTGAGTATGACTTTTCTAATGGTTAGCATACACGTAACGGTCTACCAGAGAGGTCTACCTGTGCAGGTGTGCCTACGCAGATCGGCTTCATGTAGTGGCGTGTATGTCTACCTGTGCAGGCACACCTGCACAGACAGACCGTAGCGTGTATGCCCGCCATAAGGGTAACTGCAGATTGGCATTATAGTATGAGAGCCCACTGCAAATTTCGACCGTCATCTGATAACGAAATGAAATATGCTCCAAAGGCATGTAACAACTTTGTACTTTACCAAATTATACCTGTGCCAATCCCTACCCTGAGCAAAGTGGTTAAAAAAAAATATTTTATATTCAAAAAATCACATAAGACATGACAGCGACAATTGTGTTTTCCCTAAAAATTACAATCCTAATTCATTGTGAACCTAGCTTTTAAACCTGAATTACTAATATATTTACCTACCTTTTAAACCATGTTTATGTATGAAAGGAAGAAGGATGGCATTGTATAAACCATTTGCAGAGATAGTCAATAATAATTATAAACTCTTGTTAGACAATTATTTTAAACCATAATCATAGTAGCTTTTTTGTCGTTTCTATGACAACCTGTAAAAATGAATCACAACAATAGATATACAAATAAATTTTTAAATCAGCAAACATTGATTCATATTTTTAATGATTTTTATCTACTAATCGTGGATAGATGTTTTTGTGCGATGTTAAGAGGAAGAAAATGTTTCCCTTTAACGATATATATCAAGATATATTTGAATGTTATTTTCTAGAAAACTTTAAGGGCAAACAAAATTAGCGCTGTCATGCCTTATGTGATTTTTTTAATATAAAATAATTTTTTTAAGCAACTTTGCTCAGGATTGGGATTGGCACAGGTGCCATTTGGTAAAGTACAAGGTTTTTCCATGATTTTGGGGTATATTTCATTTCGTTATCAGATGACGGTAAAAATTTGCAGTGGGCTCTTGGGCTATTAGGTTTGATCAGCCTAATGCGCTCCACACATAAAAGTGTGCGAGACAAAACCGCCTATGAAGGCACTTGTAGTAACATATCCAGGAGTTTTACCAGTGTATGTAAACTGGTTGTACTGTGAAATGACAAAATTAGCTTTATGTTCATCTACTGATTTAGAAGTTTTTTTTTTATCAAATTACGACCACCAGTTTTTGAAATCTGCGTCAAATTTGTCTACGAAACGACATGGCTACGGAGTGAACAAATAGTACATTCGCCGTACTGTTCTTTCACTCAGCCGAAAATTGAACAAGGGCCCATCGCTCGTATGATGTTGGTCGGTGTATTATTCTTTCGCTATGTGATAGGCCTATGAATTTTAAACAATTTGCCTATCTCAGTTAAAATTACCATTTTTGGCACTTGTATTGTTCTTTCACTCACTGATTCAATTATTTTATGAATATTGGTGTTAAAAAACTTGTTACAGAACTCACAAGGGTTACAAATACTAGTGAAACACTTATTGATTATGTAATTACTAACAGAGAAAATCTTACACATCAGATCCGTCCATTACCAAAAATAACAGATCTTAGCGTAATTTCTGTATCTCTTAAAAAACAAATTTATAATAAGATTTCTAAAAAGTTTAGGGACTTTAGTCAAACTAAACTTAAATTAATAAATAAAAATTTATTAGTTTGTGATTGGCATCTATAGTCTATTTTTATGTATGAGAGAGTAATAAAACCGCATTTCTAATGCAAAACTTAGTACGGTAATTTTAAATATTTTTACAGAATAATCTAAATATTTCCTAAAATTGTAATAAATGTACCTGAGCTATTACAAGTTTTGGGTCTTTTATTGGTCCTTTATAAACATAAGCTGTACAGAACAATAGAAAAAGGTTTGAACAGGCCAAAAGCCCTGTGTATTAAAGATTACATAGCCTTATCTTAAGATTATTTTCAATAAGTACCTATTTACCAATTTTGTTTTATTTTAATTCCAAGAATTTCTTACAGTAATCGAATTATAAGTAGATAAATACCTTCCCAACAAATTTCACCGAAAATGCGATTATAGGTTTTCCATTTAGTAAGGAGGTCCAAGTTGTGTATTCTTGACAGTTTACTAAATGTCGTTTAGTTGCAACTTGCAAGGTGCAGTTTGAATTCTAGTGTGATCATGGAAAATTTGGAAGGGCCGCGTAAACGACAAAAAATCGGTCCTTTAACAGTTAATGAAAAAACATTAATATTTAATTGTTTTAAATCATTTACAGACAAACATTTATGTAAAAGTGTTGATGACACAGTGGAATTAGTAGTACGCTTGTTGTTGGGAAATCTACGATTTACAGAGTTGTTAAAGAAGAGAAATGTGGCGAGTTTCAAACAGCACGTAAAGCTCCAGGAAAACCAAAATTTTAATTAGAAAATCTTTTGAAAGAAAGACTTCGAAGGAAAGTGCATGCGTTCTTCTTTAGAAAAGAATTTCTGACAGTAGAAAAAAAAAAACGAAACCGTAACGAAAAAAACCTAACACCCCCCACTCCGACCGGCACAGCGGTGCGGCGTTAAACAATATTAACTTCTCATTTATTCAATAAAAGAAAATCGAAAAATTAAAAAATCGAATAATCGAAAAATACATTCCGTAACGAAAATAAACCTAACACCCCCCACTCCGGCCGACACAGCGGTGCGGCGTTGAAAGCCGTGCATCGTCTAACGTCGTTTCAGTTCGGCAGACTTCGGCACGGTGTTCGTGTTCGTGCGACTAGACGTATGCGTGTAGACTAGCTGCTAACTGCTCATAACTGATTCTATCTCTTTTAGACACAATTTCGGAAAAAATTGAATTTGAAAATGAATAATGATCCACAAGAATCCACAACAAAATATGGGACCACCATTGACGCGGTATTTCCCACATATTTAGAGGATATCAAGTCTCAAACTTATGTT